GTACAGTAGCAAAGAAATACACAGTTTGGGTTAATACCAAATCGTTCTCTTCACCCTACAAAACAAATATTCAGTGAACATTTTTTTTAAATATCCATTTGAAGGAATATCGAGCCACAGTCCAGCCCAGAACCCCCACCCTCCTTGCTGGTGATGTGCCCCGGGGCTTGAAGATCTCCTGGGTCCCTGGAAACACCAAACCTCAGAGACCGTGAGCCCCGGCCCCTTCCTGGCCTCATCCTTTTCAATTCTACAAACTGAAGTTGTAGAGCTATTTTTTTTCTTTTTGTGTTTTTGGATTTTAATACTTTTCAACCAGCTTTATGGTGCTATAACTCACATTCCAGACCACTCATCCATTTAAAATATGCAATTCAAATAATTTTTAGGATACTCACAGAGTTGTGCCACCACGCCTACTATCTTGTGGCCCCAAAAAGAGCATTAACAGTCCCTCCCCACTTTCTTACTTTCAACCCACCCCTAGCCCTGGACGACAACTCATCTACTTGCTGTCTCTAAAGTTACTTATTCAGGGCATTTCCTGTAAATAGAATTATACAAGATGTGGCCTTTTGTGACTGGCTTCTTTCGCTTAGCGTGATGTTTTCAAGGTTCCTCCATGTTGTGGTGCATATCAATACTTTATCCCTTTTAATGGCTGTGTAATACTCCATTGTGTGCCTATAGTGTGTTGTATTCATTCACTTGTCACTTGATGGAGAAGACCTGTTTGTTTAACGATGGCTCTTTTTGTTTTCCTTTCCAGCTCCCAATCAGAACAGGTGTCCCCAGTGATACCCAGACAGAGAATCTGCCCCCAGCCTACCCTGTGCTTCCTTCCTCCTCTGGTAGAATCTGATTTTTTGACACAACCCAGGCAAATCCTCAAGGTTGGCTCTTGGGCTGGCCTCGTTGGTCAAGGCCGACTAATGGGCCATGTGCAGTGGCTCACACCTGTAATCCCAGTGCTCTGGGGGGCCAAGGAAGGAGGATTGCTTGAACCCAGGAGTCTGAGACCAGCCCGGACCGTATATGGGTCACATTTTCAAGTAGCAATTTCTGGAACCCAGTGACTGTCGCTGCCAAGGGTATGAAGAATTAGGAATGCTGCTGTGGTCTGAATGTCACCCCAAATTTATGTATTGAAACTTAACTGACAATGCAATAATATTAAGAGGCAGAGCCTTTGAGGGTGATTAGGTCAGACTAGGCTCTGCCCTTGTGCATGGGATTAGTGCCCTTATAAAAGGGCTCCAGGGAACTAGCCAGCCCCTTTGCTTTACTACCTTCTGCCATATGAGGGTATAAAAAGAAAGCCTTGAGGAGACTGTGAATCTGCTGGTGCCTTGATCTTGGATTTTGCAGCCTCCAGAATTGTGAGAAATACATTTCTGTTCTTTAAAAATCATTCAGTCACGGGTATTTTGTTAAAGCAGTGGAAGTGGAGCAAGACAAACATCAAGTGCTGCCCTCCATAGCCCAAGGGTCTTGGCCCCACCTCAGCCCCAGCCCAAGCATAGCCACCCTAGACAAACACACACTCTTAAGTAAAATCCGGCGTCAATCATCTTGCAAACTCAGCTCTGAAGCAGGTCCCCAGCCACAGAGCCTCTACTGAGCTGACCTTTTCCTTTGGCTTTCAGAGGCTTCTGGCTTCTCCTTGGGTGTCTCCTCTGGCCACTGCCTCCTGGGGCCTCAGAAGTGTGTCAGGTGATGGACAGGAGGGACAGCAGTCAGCATGCACCCACCTGTGCCTGCTCAGTCATCAGCCAGTTGGAATTCTATGGACTAACCATTTCACGTTCACTGTTAAATATTCAGCTGGAGTTGGCTTTAGCCAGCAGATTTCCACTTAATCCCCTTTGAGTGTTTCAGGCCCTCAGGAGAGCTCCCGGGATAACTCTGCTCTGGCCTCTACCCTCCTGTCAGTCTGTGTCTAGCCCTTCCTCCCTGGTGCAGAGGGCTCCAGGCTCTAGCCCACCCCCGCCTCCCTCTGGATACCAGAGAGGGTGGAAGCATTAACCAAGGCAAATGACAGAAATGCAGATTTGGGGAGGAGATCGAATGATGAAAGAACCTCAGAGAGGCAGCTCCTCTTGTTCGCGCTGTGTCCCAGGGATACACAAATGAAGGAAGGGGGCACTCGGTAGTGTTACTGTGACCCCCACCTATCTGAGGGGATGTCCTCAGCCTTCCTGAAACCCCTCCGAAGAAAGAAGTGTCCAGGATGGCACAGGGCCCAAGCAGCAATTAAGCATTTTTTGTGTGGTCCATAGGATGGCAGACCTCTTTCCACAAATGGAAACCCTGTCCCTCTAAACCTGTTTCCGAGTCTAACGTTTGGGGATATCTGCAGAATGGTCCCCATCTGCTTTGAAGAGTGGCCTCTTTCTGAGTCTCCCCTCTTTTCCACTTCAGCTCTTCTGTGCTGTACCACACTTTCACCACTAGATGGCAGCAGACACCAGCAGTTGGGGAGGAAAGTGTTGGTGCCAAATAAAAGGAAGTAAAAGCTGAATTGAAGGCTCCTCCCTAGCTTGAAGATTTGTCAATATCACCTGATTCTAATTTAATTTAATTCTTTTAGAATTCATTTTTCTTATAGATACATTCTTATAAGTAAATCATTTTTACATTTTTGAAAAACATATTCCTGAATATAAAGAATTCTCACAAATATATTCTTCTTAACCTCCCAGACTCCCCTCTCTCTGCCCTTTTGTCTTCAGTGATAACAATGGAGACCAATTTTACATTCCTCAAAACTCAGATAATAAAAAATGAGAACGGCTTAGGCAATATACTACATTTGATCAAAGAAGACAAGAACTCCCAAACCAGTACAGAAGAATGTAAAACTAAGATACAGAAGACAAATACAACAAAAAATATATGTAAGAAATTGCAAAGGAGACGAAAGCAAAATAAAAATGAAATAGCGCTGATGGATAGCCATTGCGGCTCACTCCTGTAATCCCAGCACTTCGGGAGGCACAGACAGGCAGTTCACTTGAGCCCGTGAGTTCAAAACCAGCCCAGGCAAGAAAACAAGACCTCATCTCTACAAAAAAATTTAAAAATTAGGCTTGGCTAGGTACAGTGGTTTACGCCTGTAATCTCAGCACTTTGGGAGGCTGAGTCAGGCAGATCACTTGAGGCCAGGAGTTCAAGACCAGCTTGGCCAACATGGCTAAACCATATCTCTACTAAAAATTCAAAAATTAGCTAGGCATGACGGTGCATGTCTGTAATCCCAGCTGCTCGGGAGGCTGAGGCACAGGAATCACTGGAACCCAGGAGGCGGAGGTTGCAATGAGCTGAGATTGCGCCACTGCACTCCAGCCTGGGCAAGAGCCAGACTCTGTCTCAAGAAAAAGAAAATTAGGCAGGCTTGCTGGCACAAAGCCATGGTCCTAGCCACTCAGAAGGCTGAGGCCAGAGGATTTGAGCCCAGGGCATCGAGGCCGCAGTGAGCTGTAACCATGCCACTACACTGCAGCCTGGGTGGTAAAGACCCTGTCTCAAAAAAACAAAACAAAAGCGCATTGACTCTTAACCTTTCCAGTTGGTATGACATAGTTTCAAGCTGCACATCAGGATTTGTGTAACGGGCCAGGTGCAGCAGCCCATGCCTATCATTCCTTTGGGAGGCCAAGGCAGGAAGATTGCTTGAGCCCAGAGTTTGAGACCAGCCTCAACAACATAACAAGACCCCATCTTTACCAAAAAAAAAAAAAAAAAATAGCTGGGCATGGTGGCACGTGCTTGTAGTCCTAGCTACTTGAAAGGCTGAGGTGGGAGGATCATTTGAGCCCAAGGGTTGGAGGCTGCGGTGAGTTATGATCATGCTCCTATACCCTAGCCTGAGTGGTAAAATGAGACGCCCTCTCTTTAAAAAAAAAAAAAAAAGGAAAGAAAGAAAGAAAGGCAGGAACTGGCATGTTAGTGAGCACCACAGGGTGTCCTGGTGCCTGCAGCCACCCTCGCCTGCCCCCTGCTGCTCTGAGACAGGACCTTGCCTCATCCAGGATGGCTCTGCCGGCAGGGAGGGGCACAATGTAGAAAAGAGCCCCACAAAGCCCAGCGGGGTTTACCTTGAGGAAATCTATGAATGGCAAAGGACAGGATGGTGAAAATGGAATCCTGGACGTGGAAGGGAACTTTACATCCAGGACCTGAGCCTGAAACCAAGAGAAAAAGATTCACGGGCTGCAGGAAAGTCCCAAGGCAGCACAGCAGGTGGCAATGTCCGTAAAAGGAGACAAAGACAAAGAAAGGAGAGTGTCGGGGCCTGGCCTGGCTTGAGAGGGCCCTGGAGTGAAGACTGTCCTGGGTACCCCTGAGCAGGGAGGGCTGGTGGATGAAGAGCACACGCAGAGCCAGCCCTCAGGGATGGCAGGAGCCCTCCAGGCCTCAGAAACCATAGTCTTCCTGGAGACTTCTGAGCAATAGAATGGGACGTGATGTACTTTCCTATTGTATGTTACATTTTTCTAGACTAAGAATTGAAGAGGAAAAGAAACAGTGAGACCAGAAAGCTACATTTAGAGGAAGCTCCCAGCCTCTGGGTTAGGATGGAGGGCTCAGGACCCTGCCAGCTCCATCAGCAATGTGGATTTCTTCTCTCCAGGCACACAGTGGCCTGGTGGGGTCAAATATTTGACCTCAAACAAAAGGGCCCAAATTTCAAAAACAAGAGTTGCAGCTAAGCGGTCTCAGCCATGGAGTCTTCCCAGCCCATGCCAGCTCACGGCCCCTTCCTGCCCCTAATCCTTCTGAGCAGCTCACGCCCTGCCCAGAGCTCAAGGGGCTGCCCCTGTCCTTTCTTCAAAAAGATCCTGAAATCCACTCTCTCCAAAAAACATGTCTTGACGGTGTGGGGGAGGGGAGGAACAGCAGTCACCCTCCTCCCGCACCTGGACACAACCTGGTCCTTGCCACAGAGGCATAGGCCCTGGCTGAAACCCACAGCAGGAACACCACGCCACACATCTTGGTTCAGTTCATGCTTTTATTCTGAAGCCAGCAGATTGGTGTGTAGTTGCCTTCCTTTCAGCCCCTTTCAGCCCCTGCCCTACTCCCCCTCCCTCGCTCCCACCCAACCTGGACAGAGGACTGCCCTCCTCAAAGTTACCACCCTGCTCTCAGGGCTGATCCTTGGAAAGGAGCTGTTTAAGGAAACACCCTAACTGCCTTCTAATAGCAGATTAGATTGAACCACCACCATTTGCATTTTAATGGAAAAGCTGTGGGAATGGGGGCTTCAGTGGTTAACTGGTAAAGTGTGGTAAGAGGGGGCCTTCAAGGCATGACAATTTGGGCAGAAAGTCAGGCCACAGGCTGGCCAGGACCAGAGCCTTCAGGGGGCTAATTGACCTCCCTGGCTCCCTACACCCGCCTTGGGGTGACTGTCCGCTGCTCTCTGGGGAGAGCAGACCTTGACCCTGTGGTCTAAAACTAAGGAGTTAACCAATCAAAGGAAGATGAAAAACCCACAGATTGGTCCCCATAGACATCACATAGAGGGCCTAAGGGTCAGGCTGGGACCTGGGACTCAGCAAGGCACCCAAGAGCCTGTGCTCAGGAATGTCTAGTTCAGTCCGAGGGGCACCTGTGGGGAGAGGGGCAGGGCCCAGGGAAGAGAGCAGGTCACCTGGGGAGGGGAGGGGGAATGTCCTTTCTGCCATTTGCCACTTCTCTGGCAAATGAGCAGGGAAGAGACCCGGGCTGGCCACCTCTCACACCACAGCCTCAAGCTGGGACATCCTCAGGCCAGCCTGGGGACCATGTCATGAGGGGAGGTGTGTCTGCCTGTGTGCGTATGTGCGTACTAGGCAAGAGAGATCAGGGTAGTCAGTGCAGGCACTGGGAGAGTTATGGGAGCTGGGATGCATGGCAGAAATCAAAATGCGGGCTGTGCTCAGGAAAAGGATGGTGGGCATCCTGAGACCAGGCAAGCGCCTAAAAGTTGATGTTCTTGAAGTCCGTGGAGCAGCGGTACCTGCCATCCAGGGACCTGGAGCACAGCAGGTTGGGAGAGCAAGGACAGGTGTGGTGCTGGCGTTTCCTAAAGAAAGGGACCTAAGGAGAGAAGAAAGCAGCGCCTTCACCAAAGGGAGGTGGGTGGGCCTCCTGGCGGCAGACTCTGCTCAGCCCAGCCCTGGCAAATGTCTCCCCCACCTCCCTAGCCCACTCCCCCATTGCAATTAGACAATACTAGCAATTAGAAATGAGGAAACTGAGGCACGGAGTGGCTAAGCAATGTGCCAAGATCACACAGCTAATTTGTGAAGGAGCTAGGATTTGCACCCAGGCTATCTGGCTCTGGAGACTCAGCGCATACACGCACACGCACACACACACACACACACACATCCATTGATTGAATGTTTGTTGCTCATCCATTATGGGCTCATAACTCCGTGGTGGGTGCTGCAAGTGCAGCCGTGAACAGGACAGCCACCATCTCTGCCCTGACCCACAGCCCAGAGGAGTGCTAAACCACTGGGGTATCCTCAAGGAGGAGTTTTGAGAATTGCCTGGGTTCAAATCCCAGGTCTACCACTTCCTGGCTGTGTGACAATCAGCAAATCACTTGGCCTCTCTGTGCCTCAGCTTTATCAATTGTAAAATGGGTTAATAACAGCACCTACCACATATGGTTATAAAGAGGTTAAAATGACAAAAAGCACCCAGTATGAAGGGCGGCGTGTAGGAAGCACTCAGCATTGGGTTTTATTACCACTGTTGTCCTTACTGGGAACATGGATCTGCAGCTGAACCACCTCACGTGCCCCAGGGTTACAAGGACTGCCACGTTGTCCGGCCTCTTTCACCACTCCTGCCCCTCTTCACCCTGGGGCACGAGGTTGGGCGGGGCTGTGATTGGGATAGAGGCTGCTGGCGGATGCTCTGTGCCCAGATGAGCCCCGAGCCAGGGTGCAGGCAAGTCCCCGAAGACCACGAAAGGTGCCTGAGTCCAGGTGGAAGGCGGCTGGTAAGCCTGAGAGCCTGTGCTCAGGAATGTCTAATTCAGACAGCGGGGTACATGTGGGGAGAGGGGCAAGGCCCGGGGAGGAGAGCAGGTCACCCCAGAGCCTGTGGAAACGCCCTCATTGCTTCTAATACGTCGTCAGACTAGATTGAACCACCACCATTTGCATCTTAATGAAAACGCTGTGGGAATTGGGAGCTTCACTGGTTAGCGGGTGCAGTGTGGTAAAGTGGCTGCAGGGAGGGAGTGCAGGGAGGCTGCGGCTCCTGAGGACTCGGGACTGGGAGCTGGCTGTCAGGACATGGGAGCAGGGCAGAAGCTGTGTGCTTAGGGCACAAGAGTGAGTGACTTCTTAGAAAGTGGGCACCTGGCTTGCCTGGCTGTAGACCTGGCCAGGTGTGGAAGGCGACTTTGTGGGTCTTCTTTTGTGTTCCCGAAGGGAGGTCCCTACAGAGCAAAGGGCATGTGAGATCCTTTCAAAATCGGAATTCGTCAGATCCGTAACGGACATTAGAGGCAGTGGGTCTGCTCCACTCGTTGTCTATGTGTGGCCCAAGAGCAGGCGAGCTAATCTGTCCAAGTCCACACAGCGAATTATGGTCTGGGAATGCCCAGACTGTCCAACAGCCTATGAGATCAGCGGCACCCCTCCGCCCAAGGCCACCCCCCAAAAGAAAAGAGGCAGTGCCCAACATCAGTGAGGCATAACTAGAGCTGGCATCAGAAAGCCACCATTCCCGTCCCAGCTCCATCTCATTGGCTGTGTGCCTTGAGCAAGTCACATGACTCTGCTGGGCTCAGTTTCCTCAGCATTGTCCGGGGTTGCTGTGAGGATCAAATTAGACCAGCGGTTCTCTCCGACCTGTGCTAGAAGTCTGTAGGTAGATCATGTCAGACCCGGTACAAATAAACGTACAGATGTCTGACCTGCAGTGCACTAGGTAAGGTGGGTGCCTGATGGTGGGGAGGCACAGCAACCCCATAGCTGGCTGCTTCCCCTTGACATTCAGGGGCTGGATCAGGGCAGGATCAGCCGTCGGAGGACGGTGAAGTCCTCTGGAGCCACAGCCTCCCACACTTCCTCTGTGGAGCCAGCCTCTCTAGCCCTCCTAGCTAGAGGAAGGCTCCAGGACCTCACCCCCTGCTCCCCGCATGGCTCACCCATATCTGTGCACCCGTGCAGTGTCTGCTCAGTACCTTGTGGCTGCCGGGGTGGCACTCCTCGCCTTCCCGCCCCAGCGGGGTGCACATCCGCAGCCCTCGAAGCCACAGGCTGATGGCACAGCAGGTGCCTGCTCCACACTGGACATCCCGCTCACAGGCCTGCAGGTGGGAGAGAGAAGGGAGCAGCCCGTTAGTTCACCCAAGAGAAAGCAGGAGGGAAGGGTAGACCCAAAAAGCCTTTATCAGGACGGAGGAAGAAGAGGCTGAGAGTATCACCCCCACCTTAGTCTAACAGAACGCCCTGGGCCACGCTTTATTGCCCTGCTCCTCTCATGGGGAGGCTCAGGGCTTAGCGGGGCATTGGAACTGGATCTGAGGAACCGTCCAAGCTCCTTGAGGCTACTCAGTAGGAAGGCAATCCTCCTTTTCTGACAAGGCTGGAGGATAGAAGGCATAGCTTTTCTAGGGCTAGGAGATGCACAATGAATACTGGTGGAATTGAATTAATTAGAATTCTCAGAGGTGGGAGGGACCCTGATGGCCCAAATTCCTGGGTGGTCAGTGCTAAGCTGCCTTGGATCAGGAGTCTCCAGTCCTGACCCGGCATTGTGGTCAGTGCCTCCCCTCTGCACGGTGGCACCCCACCCTGGCCCTCAGAGCCCCAGCCCCAGCCCACTGGCCAGCACCCAGTGAACAGGTGCCTCTCCCAGGGTTTCTCTGCTGACTTCCCTGATCTCCAGGGAGGACCACAGAACAGGGGCTGAGTGGCCCTGCTTGGTTTGGGGAAGGTGCCATTTGTAAAGAAGGCCACCCAAGCCCACGTTAAACAGAAGCCAGGGCTGGGGACTACAGAACTCTGAATGGCTCCAGATTCAGGTGGGGACCTGATGAAGAAGCATCCGCACTTTCCACTCTCAGAGACGCCACGTGGCTTTTCTGAGCTGAAATCCAAAGCTGTTTTGGATCATTCTTCTCCAATAAAACCTGTGGGCACCTTCCGGCTGCAGTGTGGGACGCGGCAGGACCTGGAAGCCTCCTAATTCCTCAGACCTGAGAGGGAAAGAGTGGATGCCAGCTCCACCGATCACGCAGAGGAGCTACGGGCCACCCAGCTGTGCCGGTCTCCAGCCCAGCAAGGGCGCATCTCACATCCAGCCAGGCCCCAAAAGCTCAAGGTTGGGGTATAGGAAGCCCCAGTTGACTTCTTCTCCCACAGAGGTGGGGCATTGCTGTCCCACTCCCGGAAGAAGGACCAGAAAGCCTTGAATGTGGGGACAGTCCCAGTCCGGGGAGCTGGGGAGTGTGGAGGGGGTGGAGCCTGGCCTCCTGCTGAGAGTCAGAGTCGGATACCAGCAGGACCAGGAGGATGTGGGGAGCCTGAGGGGTCCTGACTTCCCATTGCTGCCATGTCCACTCATCTGTCTTTCCTGCCTTTCCCCTTACCTAGGGATATGTGCTATCCTACTGAGCTTTTCACCATGAGAATGTTTGCCTGCTGCTCTCAGATATGCCTGCCCTGCTGCCGCTCTGGGCCAGTGCTGAAGCTGGCACCTGTGTGAGGTGAGCCTGGCATCTGGGCACCCTCATGGCGCGGCTCCAGCCCTCACAGTGCAGCAGCCGGGGCTTCTCCCCGTTGTTCTTGTCCTCCCACAATTCCAAGCTACCCCGTCAAAGGGCAGCCCTCAGTGTAAACGCTTCATTAGGTATAATTCTGCCTTTGCAATTATTATTATTATTTTTTTTTGCTTTGGATCTCAAAAGCATTTGACTCAACTTTCATATTTGTTCTTTTGAACTCAGTCTTTTTCCTTTAAAAGAGAAAAGAATTTTTCCTTTCTGTGAATAGTAAAATTAGCCCATTTCCAGGAATTGTTTGGCATTTCTCTACATTTCCATTCTCTACGTAAAAAGTTGAAGGAGGCTGAACTAAAACTTAGTTTCCCTGCTCCCCCCAACCTTTTTCTCCCGGTGGGCGGCTTTTATGTGGAAAGCGCTCAGGTAAAGCATTGCTTTCTGCTGGAATAAGAATGGTCCTGCTACCACACATCACGTGCCCGTTTGAAGGGGGTTGGAGGTAAAAGCAAACTTCTGAGAGAAAACCGTGATTTGAGTATTTTGAACCAATTGTACAGTGCCCATATACTGAACCTCTGCTTCGAGGCTGGATTTCTACTTGTTATCTGAACACTTGCTTTGGGGTACACTCAGCTGAATGTTAGCGTCACCCATATTCCTCAGAACCAACTGGGCAGGCACCGAGGAAAGAGTTTCAAAGATATCTTTCTAAGCAGAGGTTAAATTTACACAATAGAAGTTTATAAGCTTATCACCTTTAATTAATCTTACTGCGTTGAATATAATTTTAATATAATTTACATGCTATGTAATATAATTTACATGCTATGTAAGCTATATTAATATGTGAACCAGATCATTAATAAATATTAAAATTCACACAAAAGACAAATTAGAGTATGCCAATTCACTTTATAAAGGAATTCCTTATTATACAATAGGAATCTTCATTTTATCAAAGGACTGAACTTCAAAATATTCAATGCTTTGCTGATGCATTTAAAACAGGATTTGATTCATACACAACTTCTCAAAAGCAGTCCCATTTAGTGGAGTGAGGTCTAACTAGTCTGAAAATCACATGCAATCCCTCTCTGAAGTGCTGTCTAATGCCTAACTCCCCATTCCCTTTGGGTCACAGCGTGCTGAGCCAACAGAGCCTCCTGCGTGGTCCCTGGGCTCAAATCCCTTGCAGAGCCTGACATCTCCCCAAAATCAAGGGGAACAGAGAATGTTAGGCAACTTACCCCTGTGATCACAGCACAGTCAGACACAGTTGCTAGGAGGAGCATGATTGAGACTTGCATGGCACCTCTCATGGTCACTTGGGGTAAAGGCAAAACACTGCCCACTTGGATGCCCCTCGGTTCCTCCTGCTCAGCCTTGTGCCTGGCAAGCTGGAAAGGCCAGGCTCTCCTGCATGCCCCGCCTCCTCCCAGATGTTTACACTCAGGATCCAGGGCTGCCTGTGGATGCCTTGTCTCCGCTCTTCCCTTCTCCAACACCGATGTCATTCAAATGATCTCAGAAGCAAAGATGAGACCTGAATCTCTAACAGCAACAAATCAACATCAAAACCAATAAAAATGGATACTTCGGGGGCTTTGACAGTTGCTCTGACTCTCCCAAGAACGAAGTGATTCAGACAGTTATGCACATTTCACTCAATGTTCTTTTCTGCCTCTGGGCATCTTTCTATCCTCCTTGGGGCAGAGGGAAGGCTCTGGTAATGAATTAACGGATTAGCAACATCGCCATTTATCCTTCCTGCACCAAACTATGCAACATACAGCATTATTGGTTCCCTCACACTCACACCAAGAATTATCTACGCATTTACCATGGGCTCAACACAGAGGCAGCTGAGAAGACCGAAGAGGGTGAGGTGGTATCCTTATTTCTCTAAAGGTTAAAGTTACAGTGAGGAGACATAAAACGGTGAGGAAAAAAAAGACCAGGCTTGTGGGGCCGGTGTTCCTAAGTGACACACGCAAGGATTTGCTCTCTCACGGGCTCAGGATGAACACCAGCAAGTGTCACTTCGCATAAGGACCAAAGGGAAGAAAGCCAGCAAACACACAGGTCACACTCTCTCAGTACCCTGCAGAGCCGAGCTGGGCTGGGCTGTGGCTGAAACTTACTAGAGCTACACCACTGGTCTTCCAGTCTTAGGGGGGAGCATGAGAGTAGCCTTATCTGTGAGTATACGAACACAGTGGGCTCAGATGCTAGTCTGGTGGGAAGTTGACTTTGGGGATGGCCCCTTCTTCTGCGAGGGAAGCCCCTGACCCCAGCCCTCTCTGTGTCAGATGACCCAGACAGAGCTCCCAGTCGTTTGTCAGATGATCTGCCTTCTCTCCACAATAATAAAAGCCAATATTTCCCAAGGTATGTGTTGCACTATGTCAATACACAAATAAACAAGAGACCACTACAGTCAAATATTTGGGAAACACAAAACAGCTTGCTTTTTGCAGGACTTTCATATGCTAACAAGTGTTTGAAACACCAAGTGGGAAATGCAGTTTGTAGTATTTCACAGCTTCATCCACAAAGCCTTTTTTCGTCAAGGTCTCATGGATTTAGGGTTTCCACATAGAAATGTTGACAGGCATTTATTAGTGCAGGGCTAGATTAACTAGCACAGGGGCTAGGAGCTAAGCCCTGGAGGCAGACACTTTGACTTCAGATCCATGACTTCATGACCTTGAAAATATTGCTAATCTCTCCAAGCCTCAGTTTTCTTATCTTAACATGGGGGGAAGAATAGCATTTAAATCATAGGATTTTGTGAGTATTCATCTACTTATTTATTCATGGACTATATTTATTGAGAGCCTACTGTATTGGAGGCACTGTTCTTGGCACTAGAAATACAGCAGTAAACAAAACAAACTCTGTCCTCATGTAATTTTGACTCTCTTCAAGGAGATGGGTAATAGACAAATAAACAGATTTGTAATAAAATGGCCAGCTGTGCTGAGCACTGTTAAATAGGAAGGCAGGGGACCAGGCATGGTGGCTCATGCTTGTAATCCCAGCACTTTGGGTTGGGAGGCAGAGGCAGGCAGACCACTTGGAGGTCAGGAGTTCGAGACCAGCCTGACCAACATAGTGAAACCCCATCTCTAGTAAAAATACAAAAGTCAGCCAAGTGTGGTGGCTCACACCTGTAATCCCAGCTACCCAGGAGGCTGAGGCAGAAGAATCGCTTGAACCCGGGAGGCAGAGTTTGCAGTGAGCCAAGATTGTGCCACTGCACTCCAGTCTAGGCAACAAAGCGAGACTCCAGCTCAAAAAAAAAAGGAAGGCAGGGAGGGCAACAGAGCTTGACAAGGCGTCGTATTTTAGATATGGCAAGGGTATCTCTGAGAAGACACTTGCACAGATGGCTGAGAAAGTGAAGAAGGGAGCTGGGCAGAGCCTGGAAGAAAAGTCAGTGCAAAGGCCCTGGGGCAGGGCTTCTTGGCCAGTTCCAGGAGAAGCGAGGAGCGAGGTAAGACAGGGGATGGGTGGGAGGGGCTGCAGTTGGAGCAGGAGCCTCATGGGACATGGCAGGGACCTGACTCTCAGTATGATGGGAACCCTTGGAGAGTTTGGAGCAGGGGAGAGACAGGATGTGGTATACAGCTGGGTCTTTTTTTTTTTTAGAAACAGGGTCTTGCTCTGTTGCCCAGGCTGGGACGCAATTATAGCTCACTGCAGCTAGGACTGTAGACATGCACCACCTCACCTGGCCTGATTCACACCTTGAAAGGATCCCTCTGACTGCAGGTGGAGAGTTAAGTGAGATGATGCATGTGAAGTGCTTACACAATGCCCGGCACACAGCAGCACTTGCTACCAATTGGCAATTTTTACTATAAATGTATGAACCTGTATGCTTTAATATAAAATTCTGCTGGGAGGTGAGAATCAAACTAATGAGTCCGTAATGCCCACCTGTACACTGTGACACTGGGCCGGGTGGGTGGCAAAAGAACAAAAAGACTACCAGCCTTGGAGGACTCTGGGAGAAAAGCTGCCTAGGGAGGAGGCAGCACTTTTGGGGGGGCTTGGAACACCTCACAGAAGCTGTCCTGTGGGCTCCGCTTGCCCTGCACACACTACCCCACCTCACAAGGTCACCTTCCAAGAGACAGTGTCAGGTAATGTGGTTCTCAGGCTAACACCTGCCTCATTCACTCCCCTATTCTCCCTCCCTCCCTCCCAACTGCCTGAAACACACAAAACTAATCATCTCACAATTGCAGTGAAGAATGGTAGCAAAAAGTATTGTTGCAAAACCAAACCAATAACATTGATTAAGAGCATTTTATTTCTCTTGAATGCTAGCGCTTGAGAAAAGGCCAGTTTAATTAGAGGAGGGCAAAGGATAGACGGCAACTGGTGGAGATCCCAGGAGAGACTCCGGGGAGCTTCAGGGATAAGCAGTAATGGTTCTTTGTTCAATAACGCAAAAAAACATTCATTCAGTTCCTTCCACGTGTCAGGACCAGGAATTCTCGCTTCTAGAGTCTAACTTCCCTCTAGAACTTAGAACTCTCCTGTTCCATGTCTAGGTGAATTTCAACAGCACTTGGCTGTTTTTAGCCATGGTAAGGGTTCCTTTTTGGCTAACGGATGCTGTGTGGAAAAGGAGGATGGGAAGGAGACGAACATCCCGAACGAAGCAGGCGGGAATGGAGGAGACCAAGGAGGAAAGTCAGAGGGCAGGTGAATTGAGAAGCGAGTGGGGAAAAATGGAGGGTAAATGGTGAAAGTGCTAAAAATGGACTTGGTTCCCTTGAGGAAGGAGAGAACTAATGGAGAAGGGGTGCCGGGCAAGCCTTTCCTAGCCCCCTGCACACCAGAGGAGAGAATGGGGGCAGGTGGGCCACGTGCCATTGGGCGTCTGTGTAGGAGGGCTATGTGCAGGTCACGTCTCATACCTTAAGCCTAGCCTCGATTTCTCTGCTTTAACTGATGCCAGTGTCACCACGGACCACTTATACAGGCATGTGTGTGCACATGGAGCAACAGCCAATCTCAAGGCCTACCTTGAGGGGCCCTTCGAGATGTAGGACAACCTTCTCATGCAGCGAGACTATGGAGTAGACTATTCCCGGACCTGGTGTAGTCTGCTGAGACTGTTGACCTTCAGGCACAGAACAAGTCTCACTCAAGCACAGGGGAGAGGTTGGGAGGCCCCTTTCAGCTCTACCTGAAGGCTATGGTTATTGTTCTGCAAGCTAGAAAGGGAGCCCATGTCCAGGGCCCTCCTTGCTCCTGCCAGAGTGGACGGATCTTGTGTTAATGTTTGAGCACATGTGTTAAAATATGTTCTCTTTGGCTGAGCGTGGTGGCTCATGCCTGGTAATCCCAGCACTTTGGGAGGCTGAGGAGAGTGGATCACCTGAGATCAGGAGTTCGAGACCAGCCTGGCCAACATGGTGAAACCCCATACCTACTAAAAATAGAAAAATTAGCTGGGTATGTTGGTGTGCATCTATAATCCCAGCTACTAGGGAGGCTGAAGCCGAAGAATCACTTGAACCCAGGAGGTGGGGGTTGCAGTGAGCTGAGGTTGCGCCCCTGCCTGGGTGACAGAGTGATGAGACTCCATCTCAAAAAAAAAAACAAAACTCCCTTGATTACCGATTCCTTGCTAATGATTAAACAAGAGTTAACTCTGATCTGTTTCAGAAAGAGATGAAGAAAGGAATAATAGAATAAAGGAAACCCAAGCATCCAGGCCTGGGCTCGTTGACCTGGAGTCACAGCCCCCGCGGAGTTCATAAGCAGAATTCAGAACATCCATAAACTTGGTAGAGAGAAAAATTGTATCTTAATGTTCACTAACTTCCAAGTGAATGTTTAACATTTTCTTTGAACCATACTCCACACACTACAAAAGTTTTAACAGTACCGTGATTTTGTTGGCAGGAGAAATTGCTGGTGTTTTCATGTCATATTACTATTGCTGCAAATAGCTCCAGCTATCAGTCCTGCTCATCACTACCTTGAAATCACGGTAGATATTAGGTCCCTTGCCAGATTGTTATCTGATGCATTAAGAAGCACATGTATTACCATGTCACAAATTTGTTTTTAATAAATATTTTGATAAATTTATTTTAATACACTTGTATTCTTTATAATCTTACATATTGTATTTTATACATTTAAAGAAATTATTCTGAGCCATAGGCTTCAAAGGGACCCACAGCACAATAGCCAGGAACTCCTGGGGCAGACTCTGGAGACTCGGAGAAAAGGAAAGAGTGGCTTAGTACAGTGCAGGGTCATACAATCAGGCAGGCTGAAAGCCTGAGTTTAAATTGGACAAATCTGAGAAGAATTGAAAGAGGAAGAGGAGAAGAAGAATGAGAAAAGACTAAAACAAAATAAAGAAGAGTACAGACTCAGAGTCCAGAGAACAGGGACCTGGGGAGTCTTAGGCTGCTGTGCTGTTATAAGAAAATACATTACACTGGGTAATTTACAAACAACAGAAATATATTGCTCTGGAGGCTGGGAAGTCCAGGATCAAGGTGCTGGCAGATTCTGCG